ACGTCGGGGCAATGAGATCATCCGACCACGGGGCCCAAAGAGGGGTGGCACAGCATTTCGATGGTTTTAAAGCGAGCCCCGCCAACTTATCGGAGTTCTTGAAAATCCTAGCGAGCTCCCTGAGGCCTGGCTCTCCCCACACAACCGCCCCCGCGTCGTCCGCGCACCACCTCCCGACTCCTTTGCCAGCGGCCTCTAGGGTGCGCTCCATATCCGCGCAGAACGGATGAGCAGCCAGGACGAACAGACTGCCAGAAAGAGGATCACCCTGGAGGACCACCCCCGCGAGGATGAGGAAGAGGAGGCCCCGAGAGCAGTCGGAGCTAACGGCAGCAGGCATAAGATAGTTGGCTCGGATTGCATTCACCAGGGCCTCTGGGGCCCCCCAATGGGACAGGACGGCCCAGAGCCACGAGTGGGCCACAGATGGGAAAGCATGTGCATAGTCATAGGCGAGAAGCAGAGGCGAGGCGAGGTCAGAGGAGGGATGATTCAGAGCACGCATGCTTGCAATTCTCGCGTGACTGTCGAGCTCAATTAGGTTTTCGATAAAGTGACGCTCACAGATGAAGCCACGCTGGCTGGGCGCCACTGCCGCTTGCACGGCCCGCTTCAGAGGGTGGTTCAGGGCAGCGCTGATCGCCTTGGCCCCCGTGTTGCGCAGCGACAGCGGGCGCGTGCAGCCAGGGGCTCGCGAGACGCTCACCATGTCGGCCACCAGCGAGCCCTTCGGCAGGAAGATGCTGATCGCGTGGTTGTAGTCCGAGCGCATGGGCAGGCCATCCAGCATCCACACCAAGGCACGGTGGAGAGCCTCTGCGCCTCCAGAGGCCACAGCCCAGGCCGCTGCTGGAAGGCCGTCTGTGCCAGGGGCCGCTGGGCGCGCACGGCGGAGCGCCTCTCGCACCGTCGCCACTGCGGGCGGGCGGTAGGCGTCCCAGTCGACCGCGGGAGCCCTGAAGCGCTTCAGGTAGGCCGGCTGCTCTCGGGCCCTCTGCTCGGAGAGTGCGGCTGGCGTCGGCGGGCAGAACACCTTGCCCCAGTGCTGGCCCAGCGCTGCGTTGATGTCGGAGGCCTCGGTCAGCTCGGCACCATCTGTCTCGAGGCGCGCGAGGTAGCGCCGAGCGTTGACGGGAGCCCAGAGCCGCGCCCGTCGCTTCAGAGCCCGCTGCTGGGCCACGAGCTGGCGCCGACGGCTCTCTACAGGCTCATGCTGGGCCGCCTCCTCGAGGACGCGGCGCCTGCCCGCAGCGTCCTTCCGCTGGGCGATGTTGTATCTCCTCTGGAACCCCGCGTAGTCGAGGATCTCGACCGAGCGAGACTGCTCCGAGGCCCTGACCAGCTCGCGTGCCCAGGCGTTCTGTGCCACCACCAGCTGCGCCAGCCTCCAGTCCTGGCGCCAGAACGCCCTCGCCAGCTGGCGCCAGATGATGGCGGAGGCACCCTTGGTCCAGCCCTCGGCAACGAAGATCTCGTTCTGGACATCCTTGGCCGCCGCCTGCAGGATCCGCGTGAAGTACTTGTATTCGTCGGGCGGCTCTTGGTGCTGCATGGGGACCATCGCCAGGTACCCGTCGACAATCTCCTTGAAGCGCGGGCGCTGGACCACGGCGAGGGGGATGGTCGCTGGCGTGTCAGGGCGTCGGCGCCCAGGCGTGCGCCGCAGCAGCGAGACAGCGACCATGGAGTGATCGCTAATCCCGCGGATGTGCATCTCGCGCGCCTCGCCTCGCACTTGGCACGCCTGCCAGCCTTGGCAGAGCTGCCACCGCGGGATCCCCGCGAACACGCGGTCGATGGAGGAGCTGGTGCGCGTGCTGGCGTTCCAGTGCGTCGGCTTGCCAGGCATCATCTCCGCGGCTGCCCGCAGCGCATCCAGCCATTGCCGCTGGCCAGGGTGGCGGGCCAGACGTGCGGTCTGGCCAGTAGCGGATGCCGCTTGGGCGCGTCCGCCTCCACCGCGGCTGGGCTGCGTGGCTTGCGCCTGCAGGGGCTGGTCGTCATCCAGGAAGCTGTCTGTCTCGTCGTAGTCGCCGAAGTTGAAGTCGCCCACGACGAAGGTGGAGCGGGTGGCGGGGCACTGGTGCGCCCAAGCCAGGTCTCGCCGAAGGCGTCCTGCAACGCGCCGCCGTTGATCAGGTGAAATGTCGTGGTTGTGGATGTTCCAGTGGATGAAGTTGCGCGGCTGACTCCCCTGAGTCGAGGGACGAACTTCACCACTGAGCCTGAGGATGCGACCAGGGACCATCTCCTCAGGAACAAAATCGCAGGAGTAGCCGTCAGCAGTGGCTGGCACCACCGTGGCCACCTCTCCTGCGTCTTCTCGGCCTCCTGTCATGCACGAGGAGAAGCAGCAGAACGGTTTACCCAATCGCTCCAGAAGCGCCTGCATGCTGTACTCAGATGCATGCGTCTCCTGCAGCGCCAGCAGCACTGGCCCCTTCCAATATCGCTGAATATATGCAAGTTTATTATTGATCTTCTTGGTGACATTCTTCCCAGACTGCTTTAGAGCCCGACAGTTCCAGGTCCCCAGATGCACGCCGTCACCGTCTCCTCCCCATGCGCGCGAGAGAATGTCAAAGCGTCCACTGCTGCGCCTCGGGCTCCAAGACGCGATCCACCACTGCCTGCAGGGCGTCCTGCGTCTGGCCGATCGCGCGCACAACCACCATGTTCCATGATACCGTCGGCGTGGCACCTGGGGACGCGATGGAGAGTTTGAGCAGCTGGCGCCACTTGACCGTGATGGCGTTGGCCTCCTTGTCGGCGAAGAGTCGTGCCTCGATCGTCTCCTGAAGGGCGGCCTTGATGCGCTTGAGGTAGATCTCGTGGGAGATCTGGGACTGGTTGCGGTCGCGGCCCACACTGAGGGGGACGCTCGGTCCGTTCGGCAGCACGGCAGCGAACTCCCTCCACGTGGAGAGGCCCGTGCGCAGGAGGCCCACGAGCTTCCCCACGCGCCGCGTGGCCAGTCCCACGGCTCCCATGCAGCGGAGCTTGAAGTGCCTCCCCATCTCCTCGCCCTCCAGCCTTGTCGCCTCAGGGGTGAGGTTGTGCAAGTCGGCGTCCACCAGGAGCTGCTGCAGCGCCTGCGCGACCGCCTCCTTCGGGGCGTTCGCGCGCGCCACGATGGACAGGATGGTGGGGTCGATGGGCCTAGACCAGCCCGTCTCCAGCATCGGGGCCTGCGGGGTGGCCGACGCCACGACGCCCATCTCTGAGCGGAGGTCGGCCATCTCCTGACGAAGGCGGCCGAAGTCTGCCATCCGCTGCTCCATGCTGCCCAGGCGCGAGTCCACAGCGAAGCGGGCGTCGACGGCCTGGGCGAACTCCTGCTGGGTCGACTGGAAGATCTGCGAGAGGTTGTTGGTGGTCGACTGGATCTGCGAGCCGAGGCGGCGCTCCATGTTGGCCAGCATGCTGGAGAGGGTCGCCGTACCAGAGGCGGCAGCAGTCGCTCCCCCTGCCGCTGGCGGCCGGCCGAATCGTTGCGCGGCCGCTGCCGCCCAGGCGTCCTGCTCGCCGTGCTGCGGTGGCTGCTGCGACGCGAAGGTCGGCATGAGCTCGAGCGCCTCGACGTCGCCCTCGGAAAGCACCATGCCGCGCAGGGGGCCAGCGGCGGCTCCTCCTTCAGCGGGTCCGCCAGTGCGACCTCCCTGGGCGACGTGTGGCGGGGTAGGGGGCACCACATCCCAGCCAGACAGGCGGGCGTCGTGCTGTCGACGAGGGCGTGGCGTGGCCTCCTCACTGGCGGCGGCCTGCTGGCGTCGCTCCCGACGGCGTTCGCCACGGCGGCGATGCTCGCTGCGGGAGGTGCTCCTGCTGCCCACGGAGTCGGGCAAGGAGCTGCTGGCCTGCCTGCCGCCGCCGCCGCCGCCAGCACAGCCATCGCCCACATGCGTGCCATCCCTCGCGGGGCCCATGGCTTCGAAGCTGGTGGCGATCGGGCCGACAGGAACGGGAAAGGCCTCCGTTTACCCCTCGACCCGAGCGCAGGTGAGGTGGACCAGAGATGACGCCAGACTTCAGGAAGTCTTGCCAGCCGCGGACTAGCGGTATCCGCTTGGTTCCCAGGGGAAACTGCATCTTGAGCCAAAATCGCTACGGAGGAGGAGGAGGAGGAGGAGGAGGAGGAGGAGGAGGAGGAGCAGGGGGAGGAGCGCACGTCACCAAGGAAGAGGGGGAGGAGGAGCATGAGGAGGAGGAGGAGGAGGAGGAGGAGGAGGAGGAGGAGGAGGAGGTTGGCTTGGCGTCAGTATCGGAGGCAGTCAGGCGGCGCGTCCAGTCAGCGTCCTAATTACCAGAAGGAACGCCAAACAAGGAGCGAAGGGGCTTTTCTGGCCACGGCGAGCCTCGGCTTCGAGTAGGTTCCCCCACCTAAATCTACGGACCGGACCGACCACCGCAGACCCTCCTGAGCCCAAGGTGGTCCATGTTCCACTGTCTTGACTGCATGGTCAGGCGGGCCTGCAGCGCCCCCCGGGGTAATGCAGAGGCAGCATGGCGGAGCACGGCCAGGGCCATCGGGCATCCCAGTGCCGAGGCAGAGTGGCTATGTCTACGGGCGCCGTTCCTAGGGGTCGCCACGCCTCCCAGAGTTCGAGCTTGCCTGGAGGCGGGGCACTCACCATCATTGTCACCATCATCATTCTCATCATCATCATCATCATCATCATCATCATCATCATCATCATCATCATCATCATCATCATCATCATCATCATCATCATCATCATCATCTTTATCATCATCATCATCATCTTCATTGTCATCATCACCACCATCATCATCATCACCACCATCACCACCATCATCATCACCATCACCATCATCGGCATAGGCATCACTACTATCACCACCATCATCACCAACACCATCACCGTCATCATCATCATCATCATCATCATCATCATCATCATCATCATCATCATCATCACCGTCGTCACCATCATCATAATCATCATCATAATCATAATCATCATCAGCATCACCATCATCATCATCCTCATCCTCATCCTTTACCTCATCCTGATCCTCCTCCTCGTCCTCCTCATCATCATCATCTCCATCAACATCAACATTACCGTCACCACCATCTCCATCATCAACACAATCGCACCCATCATCATCATCATCATCATCATCATCATCATCATCATCATCATCATCATCATCATCATCATCATCATCATCATCATCATCATCATCATCATCATCGCACGCGCGGGTGCTCTGTCTACTGCCACGGGCTCAAACTGCCCTGCCGCAGATCGAGCTCCACTGGGAACTGCGGCCCAAACGGCCACTGGGACCGTGCCCGATCGATCCCCTCCTCACGCTTCGGCCGCCGTGGAGGGCTCCGCTTCGGCGCCAGCTCCCCGCTGGCCTCCGCCGGCCTCCGGCCTCCGCCGCTGGCGAGACGTCGCGACACCTCGACGCGCCGACGACGAGGCCCTCTTGCGGCACGCCCCACATGGGGCGCCTGCGGTCAGTATTGAAGGGGCCCAAGGACACACAAATAAATACACACAAATAAACATATGCCCCATATTTTCCCATCTTTTTTTCTGGGTTCCTGTCTTCCCCCCCACTTCCCATATTTTCCCACATTTTCTGGGGGATCGACGATTAATTGTGTCTGTGTGTTTTTTCCCTCCTGAAGTATGCAGGGATGGCTCCATCTCGGCGCCAGGGCCTTGGCGGTCCTGGGAAGCACTCGCGCGGGGACCAGGCGCATTCGGCAGACACACCCACACGGTTCCATGCCCTGGGGCCTGCATAGCGTGCGAGAATGCACCGCTGGGCGGTGTCGGTGTCACACGGATCGTGCTCCACAGGGGGGCCCCAGTCAAGGGGAGTACAGTTCTTCGAGATCACCTTCCTCATCCTCTCGCTGATCCCCCTCTTCCTCCCTCCGCCCATGCCTCCCGCGCTTTCGGGATGTCTGCCACGGGGGCATGTGCCACAAACATCGCGAGCTGCTCCACTGAGAGCACTCCCGAAGCTTACATGCAGTGAAGCAACCGGGCTGGGCTCCTCGCTGAGGCCTACTTTTCCTCACCGCCTCCCTGCACGGCCAGAGCGTGAAGTCTTGCCCGCGCCTCGCGCGTGCATCGCGTGCCCGTTGCCCTTCAGCTCGCTCCTCCGGTACATCTTGCCCGGCTTCCGCGCGCCCACGTCCGGCGGCTCCTCTGGGCTCCGTGGCCTCGCGACCGGCCCGCCCGGCTCGAAGAGCGCCACCACGCTCCCAGCGCCCCGCGCGCCGTGGGCGGCCAGCGCCCAGGCGCCCGGCCCCGCCGCGAGCGCGCTGAGGCGGCCCTCGATGCGCACGGAGCCCATGCCCACGGCCTGGGGCTCGAGCGCCAGCACCGTCAGCAGCGAGCCCGCGACCACGCAGGCGCAGCCGCCGCGCGCCGCCACGGCGTGCACGCCACCGGCGCCCGCAGCCGGAGGGGCGCACCAGAGCGCGGCCGCGGCCTGGCAGGCCGCCGCCCGCCAGTCGATGCGCCGCAGGGCGCCGCACGCGTCGCCCACGAGCGTGGAAGGCGCGCCCTGGGAGCGGTCCACGTCCACGGAGGTGGCCTGCCGCGGCAGCTCCACGGCGCGCGCCGCGCCGTTCGCGGTGCGCAGGTCCCAGAGCTCCACGACGCTGCCCGCCAGAGTGACGACCTCGTGGGGGCCCACGGCCTTGCACGCCGTGAGCGCGGCGGCTTCCGCTGCGCTCCAGCACGCGACGCACTCTCCCGTCTCCGAGGAGACCTGGCACAGCTCTGTGTCGCAACAGACCATCAGGTCTTCACCGCACAGGAAGTCCAAGCCCGTCAGCAGCGGCCTCCGGAAAGTAACCACGACGGGTTTGGCCTTGCTGCCAGTGGAGTACAGCTGCACTTGGAAGCCGACAGCGGAATCGCCCGTCACCAGCCCACCGTAGGGAGCCACTGCCAGGGCACTGCTGTCCGGCGACAGGGCCATGCACCGAACCTCGGGGCACCCTCGCAGGGCCAGCGCGCCGCAGCTCTTCATGTCGTACCTCCGGATCAGCTTCACGCTCCGCCCAGCCGCGACGGCGAGCAGGCCGTGCCAGACCTCCTCCCCGCCGCTCAGGGCCAGGGCCGCCGGGCGCTCCGAGACTGCCACCGAGCGGGGCGGCGGGGCGGCGGCAGCGCAGGGACCCCACGGCGGAGGGCCCGCGCACGGCGCCGGCGCCTCGGCCCCCTGGCGCGGGGCGCCCTCGCGGGCCAGCGGCGGCACCAGGGAGAACACCTGGCCCGCCAGGTGCGCGGCGCGGGCGGCGCCCAGGAAGGTGCCGAGGCCTCCCCCGCCCCGCGGCCAGCGCTCGTCGAGGACGGCGTGCGGGTCCCACGCCCCGCCGATGGACTCGCGGAGCGCCGGGGAGGCCAGGAGGGCCAGCCCGGCGCGCGCGGCCTCGCGGAGGGGCAGCAGCGCGAGTATCCTCCGCCAGGTGTCCTCCGTGCACGACGCCGCGTCGACCACGGCGTCGGCTGCGGGCGGCGGCAGCGCGAAGTCCTCGAGCTCGTTCGCGCCGCGCTGCGCGTCGGCCAAAAACGACCGAAACACGGAGCCGCTCTCCTCGCCCAGGTCTCGGCCCCAGATCACGGCGTCTCCGAGCAGCACGAACTGCACCCTGTCGCCGAAGGTCGGCTTCTGCTCGTCGGGCATCGCCGCCCAGATCATGTCCACCTCCAGGCAAGCGCGCTCCACTACTCGCAAAGCAATTGCTTGCGGATGGCCTGGATCCGCCGCGGGGGATTTACGATCCGTTACATACCTAGGAAAGCTGTTTCTGTTTCCGACGCTTGCGAGTGGGCACTTTGCGAGTAGCGGAACGCGCTCGGTGAACCTCCTCCAGGGTCTGCCGGCTGAACCCTGGCAAATGCGGGGGGCTCCGCATCCAGGGCGACGCCTTCGCCGCCAGCTGCCGGGCACCCCCCCACAGCCTCGCTGGGCTTTGCGGCAAGGCCCCCGCGGCAGCCGCGCCGCTGCGGTGCCGCAGCCCGCAGCCTGGGCACGGCAGGCCCCAGAAGTCCAGCCGGCAGAGCTGGGGGAGGTCGACCTCCTCGACCAGGGCCGCGAGGCGGTCGAGCGGGACTGCCTCCACACTCTTCAGCCAGTGCAGCAGGTCCGCGAAGAGCAGGTTGCCCTTGTCCTGGGAGCACACACGCGCAAAGACACCATGAGCATAGAACCGGCCGCTCGAAGGTCCGCACGGCTTTGCTGGGCCGGCGCTGCACGCCTCCCCTCCCCGGGGCCAGCGCCGACCCGGGCAGCCCGGGCGGGCCTCGAACACTCCTGCTCGTGCTGTCTTCTGCGTTGTTTTTCCCCATATCCTAAGATGGGGTTCTTGTTATTACTTGGACGCCTCCTACTGCCTCTCCCTCCTCTTTCCTCCTCCCCTCCTCCTCTTTCCTCATACTCAGACCTACTCATACTCAGACTTACTCATACTCAGACTTACTCATACTCAGACCTACTCATACTCAGACTTACTCACACTCAGACATACTCATACACAGACTTACTCATACACAGACTTACTCACACCCAGACGTACTCATACACAGACTTACTCATACCCAGACTTACACATACACAGTATTACTCATACTCAGACTTACTCATACCCAGACGTACACATACACAGACTTTCTCATACACAGACCTACTCATACCCAGAGTTACTCATACACAGACTTACTCATACACAGACTTACTCATACTCAGGCATACTCATACTCAGACCTACTCATACTCATACTTACTCAACACACATCAGATTTGGAGGATGTCTCAAGCGGGGCGCTGGTTTCAGCACCCCTAAGGGGAGCCGCCAGGGGTGTTTGCACGGGCTCGTTCGCGGCCATTTTGTGTCTCAGGCGGTTTGCTTGTTTCTGGGCTCAACATCCTTCGCTTGGAGAGCAGATTGTGAGGATGTCTCAGGCGGGGCGCTGGTTTCAGCACCCCTAAAGGGGAGCCGCCAGGGGGCTCGTTCGCGGCCATTTTGTGGGGATGTCTCAAGCGGTTTGCTTGTTTCTGGGCTCAACATCCTTCGCTTGGAGAGCAGACTGTGAGGATGTCTCAGGCGGGGCGCTGGTTTCAGCACCCCTAAGGGGAGCCGCCAGGGGTGTTTGCACGGGCTCGTTCGCGGCCATTTTGTGGGGATGTCTCAGGCGGTTTGCTTGTTTCTGGGCCTAACATCCTTCGCTTGGAGAGCAGATTGTGAGGATGTCTCAGGCGGGGCGCTGGCTTCAGCACCCCTAAGGGGAGCCGCCAGGGTGTTTGCACGGGCTCGTTCGCGGCCATTTTGTGGGGATGTCTCAGGCGGTTTGCTTGTTTCTGGGCTCAACATCCTTCGCTTGGAGAGCAGACAGATTGTGAGGATGTCTCAGGCGGGGCGCTGGTTTCAACACCCCTAAGGGGGGCCGACAGGGGTGTTTGCACGGGTTCGTTCGCGGCCATTTTGTGGGGATGTCTCAGGCGGTTTGCTTGTTTCTGGGCTCAACATCCTTCGCTTGGAGAGCAGATTGTGAGGATGTCTCAGGCGGGGCGCTGGTTTCAGCACCCCTAAGGGGAGCCGCCAGGGGTGGTTGCACGGGCTCGTTCGCGGCCATTTTGTGGGGATGTCTCAGGCGGTTTGCTTGTTTCTGGGCTCAACATCCTTCGCTTGGAGAGCAGATTGTGAGGATGTCTCAGGCGGGGCGCTGGTTTCAGCACCCCTAAGGGGAGCCGCCAGGGGTGTTTGCACGGGCTCGTTCGCGGCCATTTTGTGGGGATGTCTCAGGCGGTTTGCTTGTTTCTGGGCCAACATCCTTCGCTTGGAGAGCAGATTGTGAGGATGTCTCAGGCGGGGCGCTGGTTTCAGCACCCCTAAGGGGAGCCGCCAGGGGTGTTTGCACGGGCATGGCAGCTGAGGAGGGGGGATGAAGAGGAAGAGGCTCGCATTCAACCATACTCAAAGCTCACTCTGACTCATACGCAATCACTCGCATTAGGGGTCACTCGTCTTCGTCGGCCCTGTCGCCCACGTGGACGCGCTATTGTAGTCGACCGCTCATGAACAGACGCTCACCACGGCATGACATAAAACATGAGATGCACATATGGGGAGCTCCACGCAGTGAGTAATTTCGGCTAGGGGGCCACATGCGAACCCTACCCCTAACCCCCCACGAGTTCTGAGGGGGGGGTAGGGGCAGGGTTCGCACGTGGCCCCCTAACACTGGGGCCCCCGTCGCCGCATCGTCGCCGACGCGCTCGGGCGTCGCTCAAGGGGGGGGCGGGGGGCGATTCATGGGCCCGGACCCCCTTGAGCAATGGAAAAGATACGACGGGAAGTCTATCGCCATTTTCGCTGTCTTCTGCGTTGTTTTTCGCTGTCCCCTAGAGGAGGAGGAGGAGGAGGAGGAGGAGGAGGAGGAGGAGGAGGAGGAGGAGGAGGAGGAGGAGGAGGAGGAGGAGGAGAGGAGCAGGAGGAGGGGAGGAGGAGGAGTAGGGAGCAGGAGGAGGAGGAGGAGGAGGAGGAGGAGGAGGAGGAGGAGGAGGTTCCCTATCGGTATCCCGCATCTCGCTGCGCATGCGGTTCTTCGTGGCCTTCAGCCGCTGGGCCTTCACCTCCGACGCGTGCGTGCCGCGGCCCGCGCCGGGCCAGCCGCCGGGCTTCGGGCTGCGGCGCGCACCGCCCTCGGGCTCCCCCAGCAGCTGCGGGCTCGCGCTGCCCACGGGCCTCAGCAGGGCCAGTAGCAGGGCTTACCCAGGAGGAGGAGGAGGAGGAGGAGGAGGAGGCGGAGGAGGAGGAGGAGGAGGAGGAGGAGGAGGAGGAGGAGGAGGCGGAGGAGGAGGAGGAGGAGGAGGAGGAGGAGGAGGAGGAGGAGGGCGGGCCTCAGGGCGGGCGTCGTCGCCGCCGAGGACGCCGCCGACGAGGACGGCGCGGGCGGCTGGGCGGGCCACGCCGGAGACCCCGGCGCCGAGGACAGCGACGAGCAGAAGGAGCCACGCGCGGCCGAGGGGCGGCGGCTGGAGCAGGAGGCCGCCACCGGGGAGCCCTGCATGGCGCCAGGGGGGGGGGGAGGCCGGCGGAAGGGAAGGGGCTCGGTCTCGGTGAGCGGGCCGCGAGCCCGAACAGCTACGGACACGGCAGATTCGTGCGGCGTCGGCGCGCGCCAAGGTTTTCAGACGCCGCGCCGATCGTTCCACCTCGAATGGATCGCCGCCCCGGTCGCTCAAGGTTCAATTCCGTCGGGTCCAGTGGCGTTGCCGTGTCCGTTGTTGCTTCCGCGTCGCAGAATTCAAAAGCCTTCGCTGGCGTCGCCGGCGCGCCAACGCCGCACGAAGCGTGCCCCAGCCGATGCTTCCAGCCGATGCTGGAACGTGCCCCAGCCGATGCTTCCACTGGAAGGGTTCGGGGCGGGCTCTTCTAAGTTCTCGCAGGCGAGGTCTTCCAGGATCTTCCAGGTTCTCGCGCGGGCGGGCTTGTGGGGCGGGCTCTTCCGGGCTCTTCCAGGTTGTCCCCAGGTCCTTCCAGGTTCTTCCGGGTTCTCGCACGGGCAAACTCTTCCAGGCTCTTCCAGGTTGTCCCCAGGTCCTTCCAGGTTGTCCCCAGGTCCTTCCAGGTTCTTCCAGGTTCTTCCAGGTTCTTCCAGGTTCTCGCACGGGCGGGCTTTTCCAGGCTCTTCCAGGTTGTCCCCAGGTCCTTCCAGGTTCTTCCAGGTTCTTCCAGGTTCTCGCACGGGCGGGCTTTTCCAGGCTCTTCCAGGTTGTCCCCAGGTCCTTCCAGGTTGTCCCCAGGTCCTTCCAGGTTCTTCCAGGTTCTTCCAGGTTGTTCCAGGTTCTCGCACGGGCGGGCTTTTCCAGGCTCTTCCAGGTTGTCCCCAGGTCCTTCCAGGTTCTTCCAGGTTCTTCCAGGTTCTCGCACGGGCGGGCTTTTCCAGGCTCTTCCAGGTTGTCCCCAGGTCCTTCCAGGTTGTCCCCAGTTTCTTTGGTTCTTCCAGGTTCCAGGTCTCGCACGGGCGGGCTTTTCCAGGCTCTTCCAGGTTGTCCCCAGGTCCTTCCAGGTTCTTCCAGGTTCTTCCAGGTTCTCGCACGGGCGGACTTTTCCAGGCTCTTCCAGGTTGTCCCCAGGTCCTTCCAGGTTCTTTGAGGTTCTCGCACGGGCGGGCTTTTGGGGCGGACTTTTCCAGGCTCTTCCAGGTTGTCCCCAGGTCCTTCCAGGTTCTTCCAGGTTCTCGCACGGGCGGACTTTTCCGGGCTCTTCCAGGTTGTCCCCAGGTCCTTCCAGGTTCTTCCAAGGTCTTCCAGGTTCTCGCACGGGCGGGCCTTTGGGGCGGGGCCTTCCAGGCTCTTCCAGGGTGCGTCATGGCCACGCCCGTCTGGCGTCATGGCCACGTCCGTCTGGCGCCTCCTCCTCCTCCTCCTCCTCCTCTTCTTCTACATCTTCCTCCCTCCTCCTCCTCCTCCTCCTCCTCCTCCTCCTCCTTCAACATCATCATCTCAATCATCATCATCATCATCATCATCATCACATCATCATCATCATCATCATCATCATCATCATCATTCATCATCATCATCATCATCATCATCAATCATCATCATCATCATCATCATCATCATCATCACATATCATCATCATCATCATCATCATCATCATTCATCATCATCCATCATCATCATCATCATCATCATCATCATCATCATCATCATCATCATCATCTCATCATCATTCCTCAGCATCATCATCATCATCATCATCATCATCATCATCATCATCATCCATCATCATCATCTCATCATCATATCATCACATCATCATCATATCATCATCATCATCATCAGCATAATCCCATCATCCCCCTCCTCCTCGTCCTTCTCCTCCTCTCCTCCCCCTCCGCCCCTCCCCTCCTCCTCCTCCTCCTCCTCCTCCTCCTCTCTCCCCCTCCTCCTCCTCCTCCTCCTCCTCCTCCTCCTCCTCCTCCTCTCCTCCTCCTCCTCCTCCTCCTCCTCCCCAAATATCATTCGGGCGGGCGCTGCCCGGCTCTCGCATAAGGGGGGCACGCGCGTCGCCGCCCACGGGGCGCCCCACCAGTGCGCCGGCGGGGCTCCCCCCCCAATGGGATTTAGGCACGCTTGGGGGGCCACGTGCGAACCCCACCCCTACCCCCACCGACCTCTGAGGGGGAGGAGGAGGAGTGAGGAGGAGGAGGGGGAGGAGGAGGAGGAAGAGAGAAGGAGGAGGAGGAGGAGAGGAGGAGGAGACCAGGGAGAGGAGGAGGAGGAGGAGGAGGAGAGGAGGAGGAGAGGAGGAGGAGGAGGAGGAGGAGGAGGAGGAGGAGGAGGAGGAGGAGGAGGGGTGGGGTTCACTTTGCTCGAGAGCTCCCGGACGAAGTGAACCCCACCCTCCCCCTCAGAAGTCGTGGGGGGCAGGGGTGGGGTTCGCACGTGGCCCCCCAACACTGGGGCTCCCGTCGCCGCCTCGTCGCCGACGCGTTTGGGCGTCGCTCAAGGGGGGGGGGGCGATTAATGGGCCCGGACCCCCTCGAGCAATGGAACAAAAACACGACAGGAAGTTTATCGCCATTTTCGGCAACTGGGGGCCCTCGCCGGGCGTCGGGACCGCCAAAAAAAGACGCAGGATGAGAAACCGGTCCGGGGGAATGGGTGGGGGTCGACGTTATGAAGAGGTCATGACGTCGGGGGTCTGGGGGGGAAGGGGGGTGCATTTCTCGGGCTCCTTTTCTGCGGCCGTCGCTGCCGCCCCATTCATCGCCCCCCCCACCCCCAGTACGCGACGCCCAACCCGTGCGCTGGCGGGGTTCCCTCCCGGGTTTGGGCACAAGGGGCCCCCGTCACCGCCTCGTCGCCGTCCCGTCTGGGCGTCGCTTCGTGGGGGGACGATGAATGGTCCTGAAGGCCACCTTTGGGGCCCTGAAGACCACCTTCGGGGCACATCTCGGGCCCTGCAGGCCCGAAAGGGCCCCTTGAAGGAGCCTTGAAAAAGGCTCCTTTTCCCACCCGCCTGGAACATACCCCTATCCCTATGAGTGGCATCGCCTCATCTCGATGCTGATCTTAGGGATCCCCTCCGTTTCTGAGGGCGCATCCCTGAGATTGTCGTCGACTTTGGGCCTGTCAATCTCAGGGATAGGGATACGTTCAAGGCTGGTTATTTTCTGCAGGAGGAGCAGGAGGAGGAGGAGGAGGGGGAGGACGATGAGGAGGATACGTTCAAGGCTGGTTATTTGAGGAGGAGGAGGAGGAGGAGGAGGAGGAGGAGGAGGAGGAGGAGGAGGAGGAGGAGGGGGAGGACGACGAGGAGGGGGAGGAGGGATACGCTCAAGGCTGCCGCCCCCTCTGTCGCCCCAACAGTGCGCGACGCCCGCCCCGTGCGCTGGCCGGGCTCCCCGGTGCTCGCGCGAGGGGCGCTCCCGTCGCCTGCCTCGCGGCCTCCCCTGCGCTGGCTGGCGGCCTCTGGCTGCGCTGCAGTTCGGGGGCTCGGCCACGAGACACCCTCGCGAGAAACCCAACCCTGCATTCCGCGATTTGTTCGGCGAGAACCCAAATCATGTCGATCGAGAACCGTCAAGATCTAGGGTTCTCTCTTTCTCTCTCTCCTTTTCTCTCTCTCTCTCTCTCTCTCTCTCTCTCCCTGCAAAAGAAGAGTCTGGTCTCTACTCACGTGTCGAGGCCAGGCTGCATGGTCAGGCTGTTCGTGTGGTGCTTCCAGATTCCTGATGCACGATCCTTGTTCTTGAGAGCTCGAATGACACCATGCGCAAACGACCAGTGTTGGTGTTCCCCGTCGCCCCTGGCCCCAAAAAACACTGTGCGGAGCACACGCATTGATCTAACAAGTGCGTTTCGTACTACTGCCTTTCACGGGATCTCATGCGGGCTACACGCGCACGTACAGTGCGAGCTCCTTCCAGAACCACTGGTTCAAACCACTGTTTACAACATGCTATCACAAGAACTTAGTTTCCAAATCAAAACATACAAAATGCTTGCGCGCGCAACCGCTGAAGTCACAAGAGCAACCATGCAGTGTTGATTCCATTGTGCGCCGGTCAACTCTGTCAAACCATTCGGCCCACGCGCGCATGCTGAAACCATGGCAAAACCATGGTTTTCTGAGCATCCCAACATTCAACAACACATGACAAGCCATTTGTCCAGGGTGACGGTGTCCCAGGGAGGTATCCAAGACCAGCCGATCAGCCGATCAGCCCATAAGACTGATCGGCGGCTGATCGACTGCTCGGCCGCTGATCGGCTGATCGGCGGCTCGGCTGCTATTCGGGTGATCGGCCCCAAGATGGCCACCGATGCCCCCAAGACAGGTCAAGTCGGATCGAACAGAGGTGAAAGAGAGAGAGAGAGAGAGCCCTTCCTCGCAACATGGCCCCTGAGACAGACAGCCAGCAGGCTCTCACGAGGCCCGCTCAAAGGGGCTCAGAGCTCCCCCATAGGCTACCATAGGCTACCATAGGCTACCAAGATGCCTCTAGGAGGCAGCCCTTTCAGGAGATCCAAGACGCTTCCGAAACGATCTTTGTAACGATGTAATGACACTGAGGAAGACGGGACTGAACACGATAAGGCAGACGGGGGAGTGTACGAGGTGAAGGATGGCGATTGGGAGGATGAGCATGAGGACAAGGAGTATGATTGGCATGCGTCAGGGGATGATTGCGAAGATGCCATGAAGAGGGACGGGGAGGAGGAGGAGGATCAGGGGAGGGATGGGGGCAGTTGGGAGGACACGGGCGAGGAGAATCCACCGACCCCCGCCCGCCGGGGGGGGGTGAACAGGCGTGTGAGGCATTTGGCTGTCCACTTCCCCTTTTCCTCCTCCCCTGGGGCCCGCAACGCCGTTCGAAGGGAGGGGAGGGGGATGAGAACGAGGAGGGGGAGGAGGAGGAGGAGGAGGAGGAGGAGGAGGAGGAGGAGGAGGAGGAGGAGGAGGAGGAGGAGGAGGGAGGAGGAGGAGGAGGAGGAGGAGGAGGAGGAGGAGGGGGAGGAGGAGGAGGAGGAGGAGGGTAGGGGGGGGAGAGGGGGGCGACGAGCTTGCCAACGCACCCCTGAGGCCTCCAGAGCCTCCACAATGCCCCAGGAAGGCCCAGACAGAGT